AATATTTTTCCATTGAATTAAGTCCTCCTTGGCGTGTGATGTTTTTGTAAAATACGAATAAAAGTAAACGAAATACTTAAAACCACATAAATCCTTCTACAAAAGTTTTGTAAAGTTTGTGTAATCTATGTAACAGAAGTTGATGTTTTGTTCATTTTTTCTGTATTACAACGAGCTCACAATTTTTAACAAGATCGATTCCAAATGGTTTGGTGACGCAAGTAATTGGATAAAAAGTTTTTTTTGTTTATGCCGGATGAAACGTGTATTTGTTAGTGATATGCCTGTATGATGGCTTTGTGTATTATTAACAATACGGCGCTTTTTTTGTACATTTTAGAAAAATTTTAAGGATATTGTAATTTGTTCTATTTTTCGGAAAGAATAAAAATGATGTACAGGGAACGCATTTGCTCAAGTACGATGTACAGGGGACTCCGACTCCGACTCCACAGCCCTATTTATAACTTAACCCAACCGATAAGAATTTACTATGTTTTTACGATAGTTCTGTATAGTTGACGGGAGTTAAAAAAACCCATTAAAATATTTGATATATGACATAAACGTCATTTATTTCGAATTAATGCAGAATTGCAGGTTCTATTAATTTATTAAATATATACGCAATTAAATATAAATTCACTTTGAAAATTATCGAATTATTGTGTAAGAAATATTAAAAAAAACATTTCGGTCTCAAATTGAAAATATGTAAATTAACAGATTATTATTTCATAACGCGTGGAAATTTTATAAACTGAATGAAGAAATTTTGTTTGTAAGTAAGAATATAAAACAGAATCACGTATTTAAGTTTGAAACACTTCTTGTTTCAGTGTCACAAATAATGTGTATGATATATAATTAAGTCCAAATATTGAATACAGTATGTGACGATTTAATATAGGCATTAATTCCTAAACGGATTCGTGTAAAAACATCGAGAATAATATAGCATAATATATAGAAAAAAAAACAGAAAAATACAGCCACTTAAATAACTTAATCTCATGCTTTTTAAAAATATGTTCTCTGTTCCATTAATTAATGAAAGCTCATCTGCATTGACAGTTGAATGACACGTTTTCTGTTTTTTCATTACATCAGTTACTACCACTGCTGAAGAGAAAATCGAATATATTCCACTTGTCCACTTATCAATATATTTTAATTTGAAATTGTGTTTTTCTTCCTTCATTATAACAAACCCTAGTACACAAAGAAGAACCAAAATAGACAAAAGCATAATACAGTGTTATAATATAGTACGGAATAAGCCGCAAAAAGACGCCGACGTAATCTTAGAATATAGTTCATTTACGTAGTTCATTGAAGTATAATATAGTAAGAAATGGTCATACCAAAATTTCCTAACTACACCATAAGTGATTTCAGATGTATCCGAAATCACTTACATACAATGAACACACGTCTGAATTTTCTCTTCTTTCTCACATCAAATATATGAATATGATTTCTTAATATTAGTTGTAATTTAATGTGACAAATTTATAGTCAGTACATTATTTTTACTTTTTCGGCTCTGTTGTATATAATACAGGAAAAGTANCTATGTAAGTAAGAACCGGAGCACGGACTCGGCAATTTCGTCCGTCCTGTGCGACTTGATCCGTAGCCATTTTACATGTTGACAGGTAGCTGTACTATAAAATTCATTGAAACAATAATATGTATAGTTAAATTTCTGATTTTTAGTTTCAATTTTTCCATTTACCCCCAATCGACCCCTTAGCCGCATCGACCCCCTAATCGACCCCCTAGCCGCATCGACCCCCCAATAATGTTATATCGACCCCTGGGGGTCGATATAGACCACTTTGGCGATCCCTGAATTAAGTTTATATTCTTGTTTAATTAACACGTTTACGCGAAGCAATACAAAGAAATGAAATCGTCACAATGCCCAACTGCAATATTTAATCATCTTTTAATTTTCGTGATTTTCTAATACACCAGCACTTCGTGTACAATTAATTGGAATTTCAGAGTCATAAAGTATTTAATATCCAATATCGATTTTAATCAATCGAGATTAACAATAGACAACTAACAGTGAGACAAAAGACAGTAGTGGAAATATTCTTGTCAATAGTGGGGATATTCTTGCCAAATTAAAATTTATTAAAGTATTTTATTACATTTAAAATAGCATGAGGTAGGACTAATATCCTTTGAAAACATTTTAAAACTTTAATTAATTAACTAACATAAAAAGAACTAAATTGCATTATTCTTCGTTGTGTATAGAAATAAACGCAAATAAAAATATATAGATTCGATTTTAATGTTTCCAAATTACGAAAATTTAGGAAAAACATTTTTAGAACCTCTTACGGAAAGTGAATGACATCATATTTTCTGAAACACTCCTGAAAATAATACAAACAATTAATAAAGTAAAAAAATATAAAAATGAATCAAAAAGTAAAATTATTTTGTGTGTATGAATAAAAGAAAAAAAATCTGGAAATTTTAGAATTAATATGATCCTGTTATTTTTTAAAGATTTCTGAGGATTCTCACTGGTAGCCGAGTGCATAAATCCACTGAACATTAATCTCTTTAGTCATGAGTAACATTATTCAAGCCCCCACCAGTGGGCGAGTGGTCTCCGTTGCCGCTCATTGCGGTGACCAGACCCTAAACACTGGGAAGTTCGGTCGTGGGTTCGCGCCACGATCGGACAGGCTGGCTGCAAGGAGTTTTCCGGGTTTTCTCCTTGCCAATAACGACTGAATAGGAGGCCAGTTCCCCATAAAAGTCCTCCCGGAAGGCNGCGCCACGATCGGACAGGCTGGCTGCAAGGAGTTTTCCGGGTTTTCTCCTTGCCAATAACGACTGAATAGGAGGCCAGTTCCCCATAAAAGTCCTCTCGGAAGCCACTCTTTCCCGTGCGCGCGTATAAGCCGTTAGATACGGCTGGCTCTTCGATCGCATAGCGATCAATAAATTCGTCTCTCGGAGAAAAAGCATTTCAGGCTATAATCTCTATATGAACCAAAGGTGTTGAATAAGAACATTATTCAAATCTAAGGCGTGCTCTACGGTTCATTAGAACTATTGATATTAACTTTTCTCTAGAATAAAGACAGAATGCAAAACTGGACAAATAAAAGGGCTCGTATCTCGAATAATTTAATGTATGAACGTTAGTTTGTTACAAGTGGGTTAAAATATTATATAAAACTGAAGTTAGTGCAACATAATAAATTCATGTTATTGATTAATAAAAAATATTACAAAATAAAATACACAATAATAGTCATTTTATGGAAATCGCGATAATTTGATTATATCTTTTCATAATCGATATTCTATCAAATACTTTTTCTGGTAGCCTAAGATTTCCTACGAAAAAAGATAAGATGTTTCCAAGATTCATACACTTGCATACTACAATTACTACAAAATCTCTCAGAATATATCAGTAGAGTACTATTGTATGTCAAAATATAATTTTCACCACATCGAATTTGTAGTATTAAGCGTTTTACATAATAATTTATGTTCATAAACAAATAACCTGTACACATATAAGTTGTATCCTTCAGCAAAACCTATCTTCTTGTATGGTTTGTTCACAGCATACATTTATAACTAACATTTGATAGCTTTCGATCAAATGAAAATCTTGAGACAACCATAGAAAGGAAAAACCGTGTCGATCTATAAAATTTTCAATTTTTAATCCGAGTAATTGCTCATACAGGAGCAGCATAATGTAATACAGACGAAATCATCATACCAAATAACCTTACATAGATATAAGCAGAAGTAATTGTAGCTCTTGAAAGAATAGGCCATATTGAATTCATTGTTATTTTAGTCTTATATATATATATATATTATAATTTCTAGCCTCTATAAATTATACAGAAAATGAAAATAATACTCCCAAGTAGATTCGAAACGACCTGTAGAAGCTGATTATCATAAACCACATTTCTCTGGGTGATGGAATACCATTACTTTTGTTTTAGAAACATCTGTAGTTAATCCATAGACACAGAAAATTTCTTCAGAATTGCAATTTTATTTTGTAACATTTGTGGTGTAACAGCAAGAATTACAGCGTCCTCAGCATACATTAATATATGTAACTCAATATGATCAGAGAGAGAGAGAACTCTCAGGTAAGACAAATTTAACATGTCGAATTATCAGATCATTAACGTACGAATTAAAAAGTAATAAACTCAAAATTTTATCCTGTAAACTCCAATATCAATAACAAATGAATCAGTCATTTCGGCTAATATCTTTAATCTTGCAGTAACTTTGGTATATATATCAATTATAGGGCCAAGAAACTGTTTATTCATGCTCATGAAATCAGACCCAAAGTCTTACAATCAGCATATTGTTTTCATCGCTTTTTCTGCAATTATTAATTGTATCAATGCGTTTAATACAAAAATAGTTAATTCTGACACGAAAACATGCTTGGTCCTGACACAAAATATCGTATTTAATAATTTAATCTTTAAATCTTTTATATAATAAAGACGTAAATACTTTAACAATTACAGGAACAGATATGAGTCGGTAATTTTTGGGGTCATACACATTGCATTTTTACTATTTTCAATGTACATTTTAAATTTTACCTTTGTAAAATTTAAGCTTCAATGTTAAGACTTTACACATGTCTGAGTGTTTAATTAATAATAAATGTCGTAGAAAAATTAGTGGAGCGAGATTTAAATGTAAAACTCAGAAAAAACATGTAAGTATAGGAAAATCTGGGAGTGCCATGTTTTGACTGAACGCCATACTCTTTCTCTTTGTTATATGTAATAGAAGAAATACTAAAAAACAAAAATTCACGATTTCATAAAATTAAATCCTCGGTTACAGTTTAGGTGTTCAAAAATACTTAAACAAATGAACTTGGTTCAGGTGTGTCTGAATTGTGGTTCAACTATCAATCAAAAAATACAGTAGTATTGAGTATATGTAAATTAGATAATATAGTCAATAATATACCATTTTTCACGGTAAAATCACAATTTTATTGCTATTGGGTTTAGTATTTATAAAACGAGAAAACTTACAGTAAAAAATTTTCAGTCGTTCAATGGCTTATACCAGTAAACGTATACATCGTTCTCTTCAGGAATCACTTTATCGGGTGCTGCAAAATATATAAAAATATAATTTCGCATATTTGTAAGAATCGAATTAAGAAGAACATTAAACAATTATGTAAATAATAAAACGAATTAGGAAGTGAGCATAAAAATGACTGAAAAACTTACATTGTTCAAAATAGATTGTCGAATTGTCGACTTTTTTATAAAGTTGCCAGTAAATTCTTTTTTCGGGATCATTGACTAGGCCGAATATCATATATATATATTTTCCCCAAGTATAATCAATATATTTAAATCTGAAACGATTTAAATGTCATCTTATATAAAGGTAATCGAATTAGTAGCATATAATATAATTTTAATAATCTTAATACAGTACATTCCTGGTATAATAAACTCTGTAAAATTACTTACTATATACATTATGGTCGCGCCAATCCGAACTAATTGAGACAAATGGTGATTCGGAATAACGGGGTTAAGGATATTGTGTGTATATTTTGATGCCATTTTTTACTATTGTAAGATACTTTTCAGTGGATAATAGAAATTAGAATTGTTATTAATTAAGTCAAAGACGGTGACAGAAAGAATGAGCGAGAGGTCTCCCTCTCGTCTCTTAATTTAACTTAGAGAATAGAGATTAGATGTTCCATATAAAAGACGAATCATTATCGCAACGTAGAATAAAATTTTTGTAGCTCTTCACCTTCACGTTTGATATGTAGTATTTTATAGTTGTTTATCAAATGTGTTATTCTTGTTCAACCTGTGTATTTATTTGGGTACCTGTCAACTTACCCATTAACCTCCCCACTCATTTTATTTTGCCCTCCTATAAAGCAATCCTCTGACAGAGCCGCCGGTAAGTGGAAACAACTAACCACCTCGGTTCTCACAATAAATTTAATCATGAAACGATAAGAAATAAACAAGAATAGAATTTCAATCATTTAAATTCTAAATTCTATAATACTATGAAAGTGTTTACAAAATTAGCAATTGTAATCATGTTTGGACAATATAAATGTAGATGAATGTATAATACATTCTCTATTATACTAAATAAATGAACCAGCGACGAGTTGCTCAACTTTCTCTTCAACATTCAAAATTTCGGTTGCCTCATCTGTTATCATATTTTATTAAAACAATTTTTAAATATTAAAAAATAAAAAAAAAGCTTAATTTTGACAGTAGAAATGAGTTTTATAAAAAATGGCAATAACAAGTAAAAAGGTCGTTAGTCTTACCCTACTGAAAATACACACGATCCCTTTTATTTTTCTACCCACTCAATATTTAACCACCAAAATTTAACAGTATTGATCTTTCTGATAAGCAAAACGGCCTGCAAAATTTTAGATACATTTCACGAAAAGCACAGGAATTATTAAACTTCAAAGAAGATGAACAAAATGCCACACACTAACATCGAAATATACAGAAATTACCATTAAATATTTTTACATTTTTTGACATATCAAGGTATCTCTTACGTTTAGAAATGTAAAAATTCTAGGGAATAATTTTTTCACCGATCGTCATAATTTTCCTCCGTTATATACATCAACCAATAATGTAAAAATAAAATGATAAGCAGTTTTATCAAAGATATTTTAATAATTCATGCGCTATATGTGTTACGTTCTGTAATACATAAAATACATAGAGTGGAAAGCAAAGCCATTAGAAATAGATATATAAAAATTTTTACTGTAATTAGTATTAATGTAGAAGATAATTTATCTCTCTCATTCCATGAATATTCATCTAACACCTTTAATAAATAAATAAAGCTATTGATTTGTTAATACTGTAAAACTTGCAATTAGCTGACACCCAGGCCGAAAAGTGACAAAATTACTTGCTTCGTCTAAAAAATTGACAAAGGAATGGTAATCATTAAAAGGAGTAATCTCATGTCCTCGTGTTCTACACACTAAGGTATTGTATTAATAAAGAAAACCGGTCTTAATTAATAACTTTAAGCAAAAGCCACGAAACTACCTTTTCAATATAAGAATTGATGTGTGCGTAAGAATTTCATGGAGAAAAGAAACAGATGATAAAAACTTACCGAAATTTATTATCTAATTCTGAAGCTAATCGCATGACATCGTAAAACGTCGAATTAACGGGAACGTTTAATAAAATATTAAAAATGATATCTTTGTCTTGTCCAAAGAAAATAAAGTAGCTAACACGGTGCTTCGGGAGTTTTTTAGAATCGATTTCTTCCTGCATTGTAACTTTGCCTGAAAAGATTTAATAATAATCAATGTGGAAACTGCAAACACCAAAAGAAATTCAGATACCAACGTGGTTCGACCATGGAGCATTTTAATTTTCCCAAATCGACAAATGTTTTTCTATTCAGTATTGGAAGTATTAAGTAAGTTGCCAAACTATCCCCGAAGGATCCGTCTTGGTTTTGTTGCGAAATGATATAATTAATGGCTTTCGTTACAATTTGTTCTTCCGCGATGCTGAAGTTTAAATCCACGGAAAATAGCGCCTATTAATATAAATCGACGTAATAAAATGAATAAATTACAATACATACAGTGTATTTACGTAGTAATGAATTATTGAAACTTACGTGCATTAAAATGGCAGTTGTGTGCAAATTTCCGAAGCTACCGTCTTCATTCTGTAACGTAGTTAATTGCTCTGTTATTGCGCTAAAGGATGGAATTTTTCTATTATACTTAAAAGTTTCATCCGTGGAAGAGTTTATTTGATATGATTTAATTCGGTTTTCCATACACCACAAAGCCATAATAGCATACGTTTGAGTATCTGTAGAAAATTTCAAAAATAAATATATCGAACTTTTAAAATTTTATAAGAAATACGATTAGAAAAATTTCAATATTATAAATTTGCCTTTTTTCAATAATTTGATATTTGCCCTTTATCTGTGCACGTGTCCGAATCGAAGAATAAATGTTATTATTAAATCCTCGGACACTTTATTCATTTTACTTATTTATGTTATATACATTATTCTTTATATACTATCGAGACACAAGGGAATAAATATTATCAGAAATTCTCTTAACTTTAAACTTCGAAAAACTTATTTGTAAAATCTGAAATTTAAATTGCTCTCTTTAATTAAATAAACGACATTAATACAATGCTTTGTAATATGTTTGAATTCAGGTAACAAAATTCTTAATTTTCACTCAAATACATAAACAACTTTTTGACAAAATGTACACCTTACAATTAACCTAATGCTGTTGATAACGTTGCATTACAATACTTATATCTATCTTATCTGTAGCTTTAGCACGCTTCTACGTAGATGCTGTATATGCTACAGACGTGTACCTTATATTGTAGCTATAGGTAAATAGTATATCAGTAGCGTATTGTGTATTTGCACGATATCTAATACCATACACGCAGAGGCAAAAATATAATTCTATTAATTAGAAAAATTAATAGAGTGGAAAGCAAAGCCATTAGAAATAGATATATAAAAATTTTTACTGTAATTAGTATTAATGTAGAAGATAATTTATCTCTCTCATTCCATGAATATTCATCTAACACCTTTAATAAATAAATAAAGCTATTGATTTGTTAATACTGTAAAACTTGCAATTAGCTGACACCCAGGCCGAAAAGTGACAAAATTACTTGCTTCGTCTGGAAAATTGACAAAGGAATGGTAATCATTAAAAGGAGTAATCTCATGTCCTCGTGTTCTACACACTAAGGTATTGTATTAATAAAGAAAACCGGTCTTAATTAATAACTTTAAGCAAAAGCCACGAAACTACCTTTTCAATATAAGAATTGATGTGTGCGTAAGAATTTCATGGAGAAAAGAAACAGATGATAAAAACTTACCGAAATTTATTATCTAATTCTGAAGCTAATCGCATGACATCGTAAAACGTCGAATTAACGGGAACGTTTAATAAAATATTAAAAATGATATCTTTGTCTTGTCCAACGAAAATAAAGTAGCTAACACGGTGCTTCGGGNTCTTCTTGCGCCACCAGAGGGTCTTTTAAACAATAGGTAGTCTGTTAGCGTTGGTCAGTAGTAGTCTTAATGCAATACGAACGTTTGTTTCTTAAAAATTTGATCACGATTTAAATACAGTATTTACCAGGGCTGTGGAGTCGGAGTCGTGGAGTTTTGGTGTTTTAGCCGGAGTCGGAGTCGGATTGGTAAGGAAAAGTCGGAGTCGGAGTCGGTAGATTTTTACGCGACTTCACAGTCCTGGTATTTACTTTTAATATTACCGATATGTCATCGAAAAGAAAACGTGTTGTATTATCATTAAAAGACAAATTAAAGTATTTGTTTCGATTATCCGGATTTTTCCTTACCGGGACTACCTTCATCCCCAATTAGTCCGGATAATCGAGGTTCTACTGTATATGAAACATACATAAGATTGATTAGATATTAGAATCTAAAACATATTTTTTCTGTTTATAAACCTTTACTAATCAAATGAGATATTTATCATTACCTGTCAAGTATGGTGAATTCTTTTTCGTTAATGTAATTTCTTCTAATTTTCTTACTTGACGTGACGAAAGAGTTTGATTTAAATTGCAAATTGCCAATGCAACCATAGCATTAATTGATTTTGTCTTTTCCATTTTCTCTTTCAGTAATTCTACTAAATCGTACCCTTGAAAGTTTCTCGGATCAGAACAAATTGCCAGTAACGAATGTACGTACGATGCTATTTCGTATGCTTCGATATTTTCTACGCCCTTTCTGAAAAACGTATAGGCCTATGTATTTTTACCTAAAAGAAGTAAACAATAGTCAAGTACAAAATATTTTGCATTACGTGAGTAAAGCTCCAGAAAGTTGAAGTTTTAATTGCTTTAACATTAATTGACTTTCATGTAGTTCGAAATTCAGACTATCGGAGAGACGAAGTGTGACAATTGCTCGACTGGTGTCCTTTCCCCAACCCCAATCCGATCTTCGTTGCCTAAGCAACCAAGAAAGCCCTTTTCCTGTACTTTCTATTACTCCAGGTATATCTTCGATTCGATAACCTTCTATTTCTAAAATAAAATAAAATAAAGTAAATAAGAAAAAAATAATTACTGTTTATAGCTATATTTGATAATTATGTAAATATAATTACAACTTACGGCAATCGCGTTCGTCAGACTTATCTGTACAGTCTCCCTCACCGTCGCATACCCATGCAATTGGAATGCACTTTTGATTATTTTCACAATAAGTTTGATCTTTTTCACAATAGGGGTAATCTTCAAATGGATCAATATTTTATTATGAGATAGTTACTTTCATAAAATATTTTTAATGTTTTTAACAACATATTCCGTATTAAGGATTATATTCATATGAGTAAAATGAATGTTCTGTCTGAAGCGTTTAGGTTTAAAAAAACACTTATGGAGTTTTATATTTGCGTGATATGTTCTAGAATTTATATACCACGGGTGGGCAGAAAAGAATTCAGTGTGAGCCGAAATGTAGGTTGTGCAAAATGCATGGAAGCCACAGTTCTGCACCGCACTTCTGTGTCGCAACTTTATTATATAATATAAATATAATATAAAACAAATATTGAATATTTCTAATAAACATATTTTTACAAAATTGTGGAAATAAAATTGTAAAAATAATAATAAAAAGCAGAAATTAACACTTTCAGCAAGATCCGCATTTGCCCATGTCTGTTATATGCCAATAACATAAAGTTTATTTTATTCTACTTAATAATTAATCGATTATCACATTGAAGTAAAGGTTATGAAATGAAGTAAAGGAAATAAAGATTGACTGCATATTCAATATTCTTTGTTGCTGTCGAAACCGTGTTGTTATTTATATATTGTATGCTGGCACAATGAAGTGACCTCTTAACCAACACTTGGCAAGTTTTCCACCTTTATTTAGTTAGTACGCCGTGCTATACATTTGCGTTTCGTGTGTTCACCCCTCCTCAGCCAACTCACTCCAAATTTCAGACACCTGACCAATACATGGCGTATCTGTAGGCAAACAACCCCGACATCATCATCCAGTTTTCCAATTTGCATATATCTGGATGATGATGTCGGGATGATAGCCTATAAAATGTGTTAACGAATGAAAATGAATTTCTATGTAATGGTTTACTTAGATTTATGTCACAGAATAGTTAGTGTTTATTAATCACTCTGCCTGTACGTTGTAAATTGAGATTTTAAAAAACCCGATTGTGTCATTGAAAAAAGTGTACGGGAATGGCATTTATGATAGTCATTACGTGACCTTTATGGTTGTCTACAGATACGCCATGTATTGGTCAGGTGTCTGAAATTTCGAGTGAGTTGGCTGAAGAGAGGTGAACACCCGAAACGCAAATGTATAGCACGGCGTACTAACTAAATAAAGATGGAAAACTTCCCAAGTGTTGGTTAAGAGGTCACTTCATTGTGCCAGCATACAATGCATATTCAATAGTTTAGTCATTAATATAGAAGCATTGTTTTAATTAATCAATAAAAGGTGGAGTCAGTGGCTTAACCGAACATTGAAAAATAATCAGAGACATTAGCTCTCTGGAAAGAATTTTTCCTGACATAGAGAACGTTCTGTAATATAATTGTATAAAACCAAGTATCAATAGGATCGATGAGGATTGAAAACATGAGAACTAATGAGTTCTGTATACGATTGTTTGAACTTGGATATCTTACGTCACTAAGCTAGTATTATACCGCATGAAAGTAGCGGATATAGTTAGTTCATCTACTAGATCATGGCATACAGTATACAATTTACCAGACCCGTGACACTCGTGCTTAATTAAAGCTGTGTGGCTATCTGAGCGCTTAATGGTATTCTGGTATACTAATTTAATATTATTAATATCTGAAATGCTAAATAAGTACGAAAAAATAACTTTAAAATGCCAGAAGATGCTCTCCACAGCATAAGTTACGTAAATTTTACAACTATCAAGCCGAAAATTTGTAATTTTATATAGTTAATAGTATATACTACATAATTATAGAGTATATTAATTTACACAATTAATTTTATATAATATACTATATATATACTGGAGTTACCATTACATATGTAATGTAATAGCATGTCTAGTATACGGTTGAATTTTTTAAAACGTACAATACAATTATTTTAAATACGTCCGGAATTTTAAAAATAATAGTTTGTAATAGTTAATAAAAATTTACTTATAATTTTACTTACATCGGTGTAGATCGACATTTGTGATATAAAAGAGAGAAATGAAAACGTACAACAAGAATCTCTTCATTTCTTGAACTTCTAATGAACTGTTAAGTATAGGAGAAAAATAAAATCTATTTCTTAAAATTTATATAAACATGTCTTAAAACATAACAGGAATTTGATGAAATATAAACCTCAAGGGTACTCTGATAAGATAATTCGTAAGAAAATGCTGTTGTTAATAAACAAATCACTTATAACGAACAAATATGTAACCTATTTTTAAATAATTTTCGTATCGTATAATCGTGTATTTATATAAATAAGGATGTTTGTTTGTTCTCTAGGCACTCCAGGGTTGTTTTGAAATTCGCAAGTTACGTTAAAATACTTGTAAATTAGAAAATGTCTTGCATACCATGCAAAATATTGATTTAATTAATTTCAACATACTTCAATATAAGAACTGTAACAATTACACGAAATTACCCGTTTCTTCGTATCTATTTAATATTTAATGGCTTTTAACTATTAACTTATAATGTAAGTTTCAAGTTTGAACATATACACACTTGAAGTAGCAAAAATTAAAAAAGAGAAAACACGAATTGTCTATACAAACACGCAATACAGTCATAAATATCAGATTTTATATATAATCGTTTAAGAGTCCAAAGATTTTTGTCGTTGGCACCCCTCAAAGTCGACGTCGTTTCGGTCACGACCATATGACAAACGGAGAAAAAAGGAGTGCAGAGTCACTTCGCGAAATTGGATAAAGGAAATTCGCGCTTTGTCCCTGAAATTTGAAATTTTTAAAGGATTTTATATCCGAATCCCATGCCTTGATTGGTCCCCATTCTCTCTCGTCGTTTCTCGATTGATCTCGTTTTCATGTGGAAATAAGATCGATCGAGTGACGAGAAAGGTCGACTCTGACCGGGAGATGTCGACGGAACTTCGAAATCTGTAATCGTATTTTAAATGGTTATGGTTCCCTTTTGNCGATCGAGTGACGAGAAAGGTCGACTCTGACCGGGAGATGTCGACGGAACTTCGAAATCTGTAATCGTATTTTAAATGGTTATGGTTCCCTTTTGGACTTTTTGGAATTTTAACTATAAGGGTGAGACTATGCTGTTGTGAGTGAGTGAAAATAGGTAGGAAAAAGAGGTGATGACGTTTCTCCCTCTCGTTAAGTATAGTACGATCCGAGCGAACGGAGTAAATATTATAAGTAATTAATGTTTGATTAGTAGAATTAATTAAATATTACAGTCGCAATAAAATTTTGTAAGCGTGTATTTTAGATTTGTATAAATTCAAAATTTGCTGTTACAATTGCAAAATAAATTCGTAAAGATAGAAATATGTAAGTTTATTTAATACTTATTACCATTCGTGTTCATAATTAAAGTTAGACTAAAGTTTAAAGATCATCTGTAAGATATAAATTGTTTAGTCTCGAAATACAGCAAATGTAATCAGTTCAAGTCGAACAGAAGTACAAGGTCAATTGTCTCAACAACGAAAATATTTACTCTAATTTTTCGAATCAAAAGGTCCAGTGTTCAGTTGAGCTATACTTTTTTAAATGAATAAAGTATTGTTAGTACTCCTAAATTAATTATTCTGAAACTTTAATCTCTGCTCTCATCTTTTGAAGTTGCGAAGCCAGAGCGATACTCGAGCTCAAGTGTTAAAAATATCATAAACGTGTCAAATCAGGGGATCGTGCTTTGATTCTAACGATCGTAAAATTGGAAGAAAAACCTAAATGAAGTCGGAAATCAATAAAATTATTAATCGAGAGAAAAGAAAATGTTTTTAAATAACCTTAAAAGGAGATGCAGCGCTGAGATTATGTAAGAATTCGAAACAATTAAATACGAGTAGGAGTTTAGGTACTGTACGATTAATATCTCTTGATCGGATTAAAACACATTGTCGAATTAAACCTTTGGTAGCTCGAAATAGTCTAGATACAGGAAACCGACCAATCAAAAGCTAGAGATCCGAGGAAGAGAATCCTTTAAAACCTGGATTTCAAAAACATTGAGATATCTGTTAAAGACTTTTGGAAACGATTGAATGTTTAAGATGCCGTAAAAATCATTGGAAAATCATGGAATAAACTTTTCAAAAACAACATTGAATGATGCCTGAAGGAAACTTTGTCCATTTTTTTTAAAAACGAGTAGGAAACAACGCGAGAGACTGATAATGTCGCTCATATGATCATCTTCAAACAGTTGTTAATCTTGTTAGATTTGGAAGTCAATATTGACGACGTGAACGAGCATGATTCACTTACCGTGTTTCTCCGAAAATAAGACAGTGCCTCTTATTAATGTTTGCTCTGAAAGTTGCGCTAGGTCTAATTTTCCATGAAGAATAATTTACATTTATTTTTGAACAAAAAAATTCCTAAGCCGAACTTAGACGAGAGTGACGTATATCTGGTCGTGTCGAAATGAACTTAAATAAAATCTAAGTCACGAACCGATGTCGATAAAGTTTATTGAACACCTCAACCGATAAAACCGATCTGGCATGCGGTACGACTACTCCTATACAGCACCCCTAATGGATGGGAGACAAGTCCCACAGCCCAAATGCCAAGCAAGTAGCGACCATTCACAAAAATAGCCATTATCGCCCGATCCAAAGACCGGGCTAGGCCATTGATTGCCTTACACTCAATGGCCTCAGCAGCGAACTTACGAAGTTCCCGTGCTGGTGTGGACTTCCCACTGGTGTTTCAACTTAAACTTTTTATAGCGTCGACATCGCGCTCGATGACCAGTTAGTGCTTACTTAACCGTAGCACTATGCAAATATGACGTGGCGTGTTCCCGTCCGACCAATTACCGATCACCAGCCGTAACGTTATGCAAATCTGTGATTCCCAAGCTATAGTCTTATGCAAATCATGCGGTGTGGCGTAATTGTCTGCTGACCAATCAGTGGTTGTACTTTCAAAAAGCCAACGGGCCACTTTCAACCATCTGTCGATGACCGTTACCGGTAAAAAAACTTTGCTAAGTCTTATTTTCAGAGGATGTCTTATTTTCGGGGAAACACGGTAGTCAGGAGCTGACAATTGATGATTTTATAGATATGCATGAGCAAAATGTCACTGAAGTATCCGACACTTCAAATCCAGTTCCACCAGATGAGCACATGACGATTGCTAGCATGACAAAAGGTCTCAGCTCAATTGAAAAGGGCTTAGAGTTTTTACAAAACTGATTCCAACGAAGAACGCTACAAAGTAAGGAATAATAAAATTATTAACTTGCTACGAAGAAATTCTGCGTGAAAAAAAAGAAGGCATTGTGTCGTCAGACGAATTTCTTAGCATTTATGAAGCCACTGACATCGAAATAACTTTTTACGTAACTCATTTAATTTTTAAATATTTTGTATTAAATTAATATATATAAAGAGCTGCAATTTTATTAAATGTTTTTCTTTTAAACTAAAGTTTTTGTTAGTCTTTAGTCTAAATTAAAGAAAATTTATGTGATTGTATGCAACGTTGTACCCTGACTTCGCGATTTTCGTCAGACAAACCTATCGCGTGAATTTGTATTACTGTATTATAATATAACANCGCGTAAATTTGTATTACTGTATTATAATATAACATAACAGAAGGGTGAGAAGTTTCTAATAATCTTAATATTTGTTGTTGTTATTTTTTGCCCGAACAAAGCCGAGCTCATCTCACCTACTGATTTTTGGTGTATAAAAAGAAAAATCACATTAAGAATGTTACAAGACATTGAAATTATTCGACAAAAAACTAGGATTCATACAAACACCAATAAACCTTATAATGTCACTAAAATAACAATAAACTAATAAGCCTGTGATTTAAACGCGTGTATTTTTAATCCATTAAATGCTGACAAATGATGTTTTCGGTAACTTCCTTCAAGATTAAAACAAATGGACACGAGAAGACCTCAAATACAGTTGACGAAGAAACCATCATTTATGTTGCTGAATAATCAATTCAAACAAATTAACAATAACGACAATTGTAACAGTAAGAAAGCAGTTATTATTTATTTTTGCGAAAAATTTTCAATAAAAAATGTACGATACTGATACTTCTTTATATTAAAACACCGTGTGAACACTGAATTTGATGTTATTACATTTTTCACTTGCCAAATCGTAATAATAGTAACGATTATAGCACATCTACGTTATCTTATACATTTTATATGCCGTTGAATAAAAGCTATATATACAACACTGCATTCTACAATGTTTATTCGAATTTATATTTTCAAAGTAATTTTTAAAACAATGTATATTATTCTGTCACTTTTCTTCAGTTTTTGTTTTATAGAGTTAGTCGATCTGGCAAGTGAGCAGCACATATTAGAAGCACAGAACATCAAAAAAATAAATTCTTGAAAGAAACTTCAAGACAGCACCAGTTTATTGTACAGGCCTTGCAAAATGCAGTCAGTTCTTCAAATAATCAACTTTTTCTTGATACTGCTGAAACATTTATCAGGGCAGAAATTCCGTTATTGAAACAAATTAAAGAATTATGTTGAAAAATATATTGGAAAGTAATTGCCAAATGAAAGTATTATTTAGAAGAATTACTTGCATTTTGTCTACCAAGAAACTTTTCAAAAAGAGTTAAGTACTGTGGATGAGAATCCAATCGGCATTATCTTGGATGAGACTACTAATGCCTTCAGCAGCTGTGTATTAAATATCTTGATAGTTTTTCTAATTAGTGAATACATGAAAGGTATGTTGCTGAAATCATATTTTTGAAAAAAAATCTAACAGCACAGTCGTCATGCAAGCTTCTAACGATGCCTGCTCGAAGCTTTGGCCACATAGAATTCCATACGACGATGTAATTCTTATTCTTTCAGATGGTTCTCGCTTTCAACAATTTGAAAAAATGTACCCAAATATGAAACAAATGACTTGTTTAGCACATGCTATCCACAGAGTGTGTGAATATATTCGCGAAGATTACTGTGTAGTAAATTCGTATATGCCAGAAACGAAAAAATCTTCGCTAAAGTGCCCAGTAAAAATTAGTAATACAAAGACATTACTTGTCTGCCTGTTCCACCTCTTCTAATAGTAATTCGCTGGTAAACTTCAATAACTGCTGCAGTGCTTCATTGTGAAAATTTTCAGATGACTTCAGATATTCTTAAACAGTTGCAACCAAAAACTGCCGCAATATATAAATTTCAACAGGTCATAAAAGAACAACAATTGGAAGAAGAACAGTACACAAATTTAAGTTTTTATTATGAGCAATAAAAAGTTCGGATGAAACCGAAAATATATGGAATGTCAAACAAACTAGACCGTTAGAGGGAATTGCATAAAAAAAGCTTGAGCAGTCAACTTGGAACAACCCAGATATTCGTGAATTTGTTCAATGCAAAGACATGCACCAGACAATTAAAACACGTTCGATCCACTTGTTTCTGTGCAAAAATCCGGTCTTAATAAAAATAAATTCTATATATATGTTTTTATACTTGTAAACAAAAACACATAACGAAGAATATAATCACAGTCAATGTATGTTTGAAGCAGGCCATATTTTGGCAAATGATAGTTCAATAAAGAAACATACGACAGAAATCATGTATCCAAGTAATAGCATTACAATCGGGGTTAGTAAATCTTCCACCATTAATGGTCGATATGATTCCGAATCGAATTTCATTTCGGACAAACCTAAATATTCATAATAGGTTATTCCTGCATCGAATAATCTGGATATTCTGAAATGGGTAAAAAAACCAACATTACGTTTAAATGATGATTTTTCTGTAAATACGATATAAAAACCGTAGACTTACATTTTATCAATAATTGGCTCATAAATTGATCCCTTCGTCAAACCATATCCCATTGTAAAAGTTTGAACAGAATCACTAGAAATGAGAACTTCTTTATCATCATATTGCTTCAATTCCTGTTTCATGGCAAATTCTTCAGTAATGAAAGCAAATCGTCCTTCTAATACTTTTTGAAATTCATCTTCTTCCGAAAACAAATTCTTTCTCTCTTGAATATGATTATTTATTATTTTAATATGTAATTCTGTCGAATGCTACAAAACAGAAATAAATAAGTTAATAAAATAATTTTTAAAAATTTCATACTCGTACTTAAACACAAAACGATCCACTGTTGATGAAAATACCTTTCATTTCAATTATTGTAGATGGAATTTTATTAAATGCTTAAAAATATATTTATTAGAAAGACGTAAGTTTCTAAATACTTTGAAAACATATTAGCTCTGTTATGAAAGTGATAACTTCTATGCATACCATCAGATACGATGTGATTGCATTGCCAGTCACAGTGCCACATGAAAAATCTCCTCTTTGAACAGTAGTTGCTAGTTCTTCGACAGTACGTGGGACAAATTCTAGTTTCGGAGTTGTCATGAAAGACAGTAAAATGCCAGTATAACTCCATACTAGCACCACCGTTGCTATCAACCATACTGCAATAATTATTCTCGAAGGAAATCTAACTACGAAATTTAGGCGTGCTCCTAGTGAGAGAAAAAATCTAATCTTAAATGAAGTTTCTGACATTACAAGATATATATTTTAATTTTTAATTTCAACCATGATTGAGAAAGGTTCCAAAAAGAAACCAATAAGCTCTCGAGACAGTCCAAACTGAAGTGTTCTCATCCTGACGTGCTTCTTCTTTCAACACTTTGTAAATCACTAATCCACATATTAATGTAGAAGTAAATATTAATATCCATACCTGTAAAATTTTAGTAAATCATGCGTTTAAAACTTTTTAACTTTTGCAAACAAATAAAATATAAATCAACTTACTTCCAGAGAAAATTGTCGAATCAGAGATGTCCAATTAAACATTTTCTTTGGTACTTTTATCATAAATGGATATCTTACGAACGCGACATTTGAAGAATAATCAATCACTTTCAATCGTTCTTCCGTCATCACAAGGGAATTGAAGGTAATATCTGCTTTCTAATATATTTTTATTAATAGGTAATATTTCAATACAGAAATTTTATATTTTTCTACCATAATAAAAAGTCAATATTTAAAACACATTTTAAATATAAAATTAGATATGAATGATAAATTAATGGAATATGGCTGTCCATAATTGTGTGGGAGGAACTCAGTACTTTGACTTAGAAGTCACATGATTCCAGGGTTTACCACAGACTGAGACAGAGACCGACCTCTCAGTACCACACTGGGAATCTATGCAGACGTTTGCATACTTTTTGACTACTTCTAGTACTTACATTAGATTTGGATTCAATATACCGGCATTCGTTGTCCAACTTGTTTCCAAATCCTTCACAGCGGTAAGCCGAATCTAGGCCTCAATGATTTCCTAGCCTACTTGCCCATTATTAGGTCAACAATGTAAATAATTATGGCCAGCCTCACCCCGGTGATGTCAATGAACACCAATAAGATATGATGAATGGTTTCTCCGGCAGAAGTACGTACCAAAGCTAAATCATGGCGAGTCTGACAACCCCGATAAATTAACACCTCATTACTTTACCTTATTTACAATTTGTCCAATCATTCCTTTCCAGCTTCCGTTTGTTGTCTTCATACCAAATAATGTTGGGATAGGTTTCACCAATTTATATCTTAAAAAAGCCAAGTTTTATATTTAGAAATTCAAATGACTTGTAATCAAAATTATGTAATATTCTAAAATCAAATTATTTTCGTGTCTAGAAGAAAAAATTTATGTTCAAAGCAAATATTGAATGAGAACATCTTTATAATAAACCAGCAACGAGTTGCTGAACTTTCCCGGCAACAATTACAATTTTAGTGGCGCCATCTGTTATCGTATTTTATTAAAAATTTGTAAATATTTTTTACAGTTTAAAAGGGCAAAAATTTTAATTTTGAGGGTAGGGACGACTTTTATAAAAACTTGAAAAAATTTAAACAATAAGCGAAATCGTCATTAAGTCTGACTTTACTAGAGATACACATGTGAAATTCTGGAGGAACAATTAAGTAATTAGATTAATTAGTTAAACGAATACGCAGTTAATGCAGAAGTGGATTTTTCCACTTGCTTTTCCCACCACCTGAAAATTTCCGTTTACCTCTGTTTCGATAGATAAAGACAATAAAATAACTATACACATCGACAATTCTTAACGATAAAGGAAATGTAAACAAATGGTTATTAATAACGAGAAACGTCAAAATCAGTTAAATTATCAAGTAACAATAGTCACAAGATCGCGAGGGTAACATCTAAAAGATTCGAATTTGTTGCCTTACATGGTAAAAGGAGTCCGACACCTCGGTAGTACGAGGAACAAATCGCGAAGTTAGAACCACAACAAAGCGAATCACCTGAGCAAAAGTCGCACACTCTAGAGAACAAAAAAAGGTTCGAACTCAAGCTTCCGGACAAACATATTTCGAGGAACAATACACAACGCTCCACCTTTCGACATTGCCAATTTCGTCTTCCTTTTATTAAACCCACCTTCGCTGAAGATCCACGATCTTTTTCCGACCATCACATAACCTGAATCCGGAGACATCGGTCTAATAGAGATATTTTATTTGTTGAATTGTGTACACTCTTTCTCTCGGTCTATTATCTTATAAATACTTAGCTGTATATTGTAATCTGGTTTGGTTTTTTGTTAAATTGTTGCTTATTTGTTAACCTCGTAACCTGTATTTATTGTAGAGAAACGGACATCTTGCCGACTTATCTGCGATTTCCCCATTTTACTTATACCCCTCCTAGCCATCCAGTGACAACGTGAGCGGGTTTTATCAACCTGACGCCGATCAAAGGGATTTAGAGCTTTACTCTCTAACACACAATATTCCCGTTGTCTCCCTATTCGTTGACATTTAACCACCGAAATTCAAACAGCATCAATCCTTTCATAACCAACGTCCTACAAAATTTCATTAATTTTTGTCAAATAGCACAGGAGTTATTAACGTTCAAACAGGATAAACGAAATCCTACCCCCCTACACACTAGCATTCATACAAACGTATTACACCGAATTATTTTATTTTATTTAATTTTTGCATTTTTTGACGTTCGTAAGTGTCTTAAGTCCAAAAATGTAAAAATCTTGTTTTTTGACTAATCGCTACACTTTGTTATATTTAACAGACAGGAAAGTAAAAACAAATTATTCAAAAGTTACTTTTNTTTTTATAATACAACCAAAATTTCAAAATGATAACAACAGGAAAAATGAAAACGATTATATGATTACTTAGAACAATAACAAATATACAAATATTTTCTATACTTGGTTTTGTTTGGTTAATGACATGTAAATTTCTTGGGTCAAACAATCCCAAGTTAAAGATCTCTTGTAGCTGGCTGCAATATAAGTGGTGTAATTTGCAATAGTTGTTACTGTGGTTTATATGTTTTAAAATTTTCTCTTAAGACACATAAACCAAAAAACAACGATGCAAATTACACCACTTATATTGCAGCCAGCTACAAGAGATCTTTAGATTTAAGATGAAATAGTACAAATCACGTTTAGAAGTACAAGAGGTAAGCAAATACATCAATGAATGAATCAAAAGTTGAAGAACGTGATATTGAGTAAATCAAATCTAAAGTATTTCCAAGATAACTTATACTATAATTCGATAATTTTCTCCAATTGAAAAACATCACTTTTTTCTCAAATAAACAATGCATTTATTTCAAAGATTGCAAACGATTTTGTTTCAATTTGTCTTCTCCGAGTGCTGTTAGTCTCATATTGACACCAATTTAAAAAAATCAAATTACTTTTCGGGGCAGTTAATATCCACTATAACCATGTTGGTCCATCTGTTAACAGTCAAACAAATGGAAGTGAAGAAAGATACCAATGTAAAACTTCAAGTAGTTTTTTTTTTACTCTTTCCGCCCTGTGGTCACTAAGAAAGCCTCTTATAGCAGGCCCATTATGGGTTCGGCCAGGCCCACAATGGGGAAACCGGGTGGTGAGAAACGGGGCCCGACATATCCGAACGGACCACCCCCCGAAAAATTCCTGGGGATTCCTTGACCTGTCGGGATTCGATCCCGGGTTCCCCAGAGCGGTAGGCTGTCATCTTGACTGCTCGGCCATCCGGCCGCAAACTTCAAGTGGATATTGAAAGTTGTTTTGGACAATTAAAATCAAGCTTTCACTGTTTGAAAAGATTCTATTATATTGTAAATAGTCGTCATATAAACAGACTTAATATGAGTTCAACGAATCGTGAAGTGTTATTTTCATAGAACGGAAATCGGACGGCACCATTTGAACTTTACCCCAGTACATAAATAGTCCATATCACACAACATGAAACCCTACTAAGATTTTAAAGAAGTCTTATATCTATAAAAGGATATTATATGTACATAATCTGCCACAGTAATTCCAGTAAAATAAAGAACCTGAGTTCTACTGCATATACATGCTCCACATTTAGAAATCAAAATTCACTTAGTAGAGCGAAGAATTAGAAATACTGGCCAGGAATGAATCGTGACATACAGGAAGTAGTAAAATCCTGTAAGCAATGCGAAATGTTTCAACGAACTTAAACAAAACAACTTCTGATACTCGATAGTAATTTATACGTATCCATAGCAGAAGGTAACAGCAGATATTTTCTATTTGCCCAACAGTCCGTATTTGTTAATTGTGGATAGATACAGTGCCTATCCAGTAGTTTACAAAATGCCATCGACTGATGCTTTCAAAATTATTTCCAAATTCAAAAAAATTGTTTCTCAATTTCGAAATCCAGAAATGTTGCTAACTTATAATAGTCCCCAATTCATGTCAACAACTTTTAATGTATTCTGAGAAGGTAACAAGCTTTCCGGATAACGACGATGTTCAGCTGAATAAACGAAGTTTCGTAAAACTGTTATGTGCAAATCCGTTAAATATGAATTACTTATTTATAGTTACTATTTATATCTCTATTTAAATTTTGATTGAAAAACTATTGACTGTTTGGCAGTTACTTTCCGGTTAGTGACATTAGCGTGGTAACGTTTTGCACTGGCATTTTTATAAAAACTTATTCTTTGTTAACACTGTGTGTAACGATAACTTATTTGATCCTTGTGGTACGTTAAAGATGTAAAAAATTACACTACATGTATTTTGTTTTTGCGGGAATTCTACAGAACCACAGGAAAAAAACTCATTCATTAATCAACTCTGAAAAAGTGTTTCTATCATCTCCTCTGATGAAAAGTAATCTTTATTGATTGACTGAAAGGAACGTTGAAAGATCGATGGACAACAGTACCGCAAATCAAGCTCCAGAGTTCAATCAGGTAAAAGCAAATCGGAATCTTTCCAAAGACGCCATCGCGCATCGTGACAACTCGAGGCAACATTTCACAAATGTTTGCCACAATTCGAGTAGAAAATTTCTGCAAATACTTCTTACAAGCCTCACGTCTTGCCTTACAAATTCGCCATTTTTTGCCTGTAAAATGACACTAGTTCATTTCAAACATAGAAGTTTACAACGGTTTACCACTTAAACTGTTTTTTTTTCTAAGCAGAGGAATTCCATAAACTTATCAACCTGACTCAATATTACCGGTGCCAATTTCTAACCCTATCGACATGTTGTGATGGCACTATTAGATATAATCTGGTACCACTTACAACGTGCTAGTGTTAATTTACAAAATTTGAAGTCTAAATAAATTAGATACGCAAATAAGTGTGATATGTCAAATTTCTGAAGTCACATTAACAAATAGTCCCGCATATATTACCGGTGCCATTTCAGAAAGCACAATTCATTATAGATTAGCCTGTCAAAATTAATTTTTTATTATAGCAATAAAAAGGAGAAGTGCTGTACATTCAAAGATATAACAGTAAAGTGAAAACACCGTAGGCTTATTAAAATAAAGCTTGTGTATTTAATGAAATAAGTAAATACGATTTAGGAATCGATTTACTATTACAAACAGTACGGTTTTACTGAAATCATATTGTTTGTAGTAGTGTATAGAATTTCACAAAAATAAACTGCAATTTTATAAATTTATGGTTTTAGTAGTAGAAGATAGCAAAAGGTTGAAAAATCGACATGGGATGCCGTGAAAATCAAAATATTTTGATGGAGTAAAATTACAGCAACTCTCTCCTATATTAGTTTTAAGTTGAAATAAATGTTAAATTTTCTGAAAAATATCCGGATACAATTTTTAAATAGCGTTTTACTATTATTTCCTCAATTATTGTATTAATTTAATACATTTATTATTTACCTGAATTTTGCTTTGTTCAAAACAGTCATGAACGTGTTGAATAATTCTCCACCAGTGATCCTGTAATTTTCGTCGTACTGCATATATATTTCATTCTATACAAAAAATACAATAAATGTCATTAGTTTCGCTTATAAAAACAAAAATACTATTTTTCGAAGAGTTTAGTTTTTTTTTATTACCTGAAGTCCTGCAACTCTTAACAATCTGCTCTTGTTGTTGAATTCTGTATAAAGTTTGTACCAAAATATTGTATAAGACCACAAATACAGCTCTTAGAATTTCATTGTATGAATAATGCGACGATCATTTATCAAAAGAATTTGTAATTAAATTTAGTTTCAATGGCACGCCACATCTTTTTCGGGTTTTTTTCACAGGTCTAGCACCAATACGGGAGTCAAATTAACGTGGAAAATTTCCGGGGGGCACTTTGTCTTTAGCAGATCGCCCTCGAGTTTTATTGTCATATTCCAACATTAAACCCTAAGAGCGTGATCTTATAATCATCCATAGAAAACCAATACAGTCAATACCAGGAAAGTGTCGAACGGGCGAACCAGGATGTAGAAAATATGTCAACAACCAACCTGGGTGCATCATAAGAACTCTCCTAAATAAAGCAACCTTAGAAAGTTATACCCCAGTGCAGAAAGTTTTCGCAAATATGCAATACATCGAAGCTGTTCGAAGTTGATAAAGAGAGAAAATATATAATGAAAACTTAATCTGTTTATTATTTAACAACAATAGGCCCACTAGTGGCCAAATGGGTCCGTTCCCCGAACACTGGAAGTTCGGTCTTGGGATTACGCCTTGCCAAGACGGGCTGGCCACGTGGAGTTTTCTGGGTTTTCCCCACGTCTGTAACGCCTGAATAAGGGCCAGTCCCTCTGAAAAAGACCCCCTAGAAGGCATTGCACAAGTGTTCCGTTGCCGTAACTTAATAAAGAAACAAACTTAACGACAAGAACATGATAAATATAGTTAAAAAACACTGTAGTAAAATTTTTTGGTTTGTTAGTATATTTATTTTTACTGACGTTAAGGGATTTATGGCCATACTGCACCAAACACTGACAAAATTTAAACAAAGCGTGAAACAACAATACAATAACTGCTGTCGTAAAGTGCCATAACTAGAAAGAATAAAGCAAACTATGACACACGTACATAAATTTTGTTCAATAAGAAAAGTTTTGTTAAATTTTACCACAAAAAGATTTACTTACCATTTTCTGAATAAGCAATCGTAAAAGTAACTAGAATAATATG